GATGCTTTTTGACATAAGAAAAATTGCCTTGATGAAATTATTAGAATGACACTAAATATTATGGCCTATTTTCTTATTCCCAAAGCCTGTATTGCTGAGCAGTAAGACAGAACCATTCAATGAATTCATTGTATAAATGGCATATGCCTTCTTCACAGGATATAAATACCATTTTCTCCATTCACTTTTACTTAAGAATTTTAAAAATAATCATTACCAAAATAGGTTTTGATTTCTTGGCAGTGTTGAAGGGTATAAATAAAATCCTTCACTTCTGTAGAGTCAGCAAAGTGGTTGAATACAACCATCGCTTCACTAGACTAAGATAATATTTTGTTGTTGTTGGTTCTTTTGGATAAATTCTTAAAAGAAGAATGTGTTCTGGTTTCCGCTAATCTCCTCCTTTATTAAAATAACGCCTCATTACATCTTTCATTGGTGCTAGTCAAAGTACGAACATGTAACATGTTAAAAAGTGTTGCATTTAATATTTTTCCTTTTAAAATGGTGTATTTACAAACTTTGAAAAAATGAGTGGATTCTGTGCTAGTATTATCTTCAAATTGTTGTGAGCTACTTTTGGCTGTATGGTTTATGTGATTTCTAACCCGATATTTCAAAAAAAATTTACCTTCTGCAGAATGAAGTAGATAATAAGTTACTTGGTTTTGTTTCCTTCAGATAATATTTGATTTGTCTTTAATCCTAAAGGACTAAAAAAAAAAAAAAAAGACGATTTGCATTTGAGTTACATATCTCCAAACGACTGTTCTGAGATTGGTTCTATTCCTGACCTCGAAAGCCAAATAAGTTCAATTGAACATTCACATACCTAGTGGTTAAGCACAATTTTAGCTTGAAACACGTTACTAGCCACTCTTTCTAGAATAAACAGTTACAGATTATGGATGTGCTAAAGAGCAGATCAAGTGCGATGCACCCTAATAGGCTGATGAAGACTTACCCAAAAGGCCCAGATCTCCTGATTACCATGCTCAGGTAACTGGCTGTTCTTGACGTCTGCTGAAATGAATTGATTCTACCTGAATTTCTGTTTGTTTCCCCTATATACTCAGCTAAACTGAAAAGGAACAAAAAGTCAAACTTTTGGGTGTATGTCTGTAAGTACAAACAAAACAATGACTATTTTGTGTATTTAAAACTTTCTACAGTGCTGAAAATTGTGGTTTGAATATTCTTCTCTCCTTTGCTGAAATTTCTGACTAAATTGTAGTACACTAAGTATCTAAGTTAAAGGACTTGGTAGTATTTAATAGCTGCCCCGTGACATCAACTTTATTATTTTGTGATAATTTTGTTTGCTCTTTGTGTAACCACATCTGTGAAGAACCTCCTAACATTGCCAGCACTGAAGGTTAGACTGAGACTGGATGAAAAAAGAAAAAGACCAAAAAAATTTCTCTACTTTCTAGGTGAATAGTCCATATGGTAGATACTAGAATTTTATATACGTCACATATTTGGATCATATCAATACCCAGATACTTCCTGTTATGAATATTCTTTTACTCTCCACATAGTCTTTAAATATCTGTGTGTGTAAAGAATGTGTATATATGTGTGTGTATTTCAGTGGGTGGTTAAGTGAATGCAATTTCTTTCAGAATATTGTCCTTCTTGCACTAAGTTATAGGAAAGTCAAACTTGACTGTGTAGAGAGCTTAAATATTAGTGATCATTTCTTCTTAAATTTCCTCTTCAAATCTGCATAGAACAGATTGTCATAGAAAGAATTTCTGATGATAAGACTTTAATGATTTTTGCAATGCCTATCAAATTCTCAGTGTTTGCAGAAAGAATGTTTGGGATGTATAAATTCTGATAAGAAACATCTTGGATAAAAGCACTGTCATACCCATTCAAATTTCATCTAATTTAGCAACCACCATTTTGCACAGGTTCTGACGGTAGAATATTATTTTATTAGAAAGAAGTAGATTGATTTCAAAGTTATATTTTATTTAGGTCTACAAATGTCAACTAAGGCTTACAAAATGTGCTGAGTGACATCAGTGACATTTGATTTCATAACTGATTATTTGTAGCCAATGAACGCTTATAGTTGATGTGCAAACCCTTGGCTCACTAAACTCTAAGAAAACTTTATTCTAACACTGATAATCTGGAGTTTTAAAACTAAGGTATTGAGTGTTTAATGACTTCAGACCATTTCAAAGCGTTTATATGTTGACATTGTTTTCTTGATTCAAAGTAGTAGAATAAAGAATATGAGACCTAATCAATACTAAAAATAATAATGTAGTTGGCCAGTTTCAGAGTTCATATAAAAAATAATATTTGGTAGTATTTGAGTGTTTTCGTTAACAAAATTTTAAACTAAATAAACATGGAAACAGTATTTCCTGACTACCATGGCTTCATTTTTGCCTTCATATTTTGATTTAATGTCAGGTGCTTAGAAGCAAGCCATTATCATTATAATATATAATTAAAAATAGATGGATCTGTAGTGCTTTGTCCTACAAAATCAAAAAAATATTTTAGTACTCAGAACCATGCCAAAGACCTTGACTTCGAAATAAATAAGTATACATGCATTTTCGTCTTCAAAACTCTGATCTGTAAAGTTGCCAGGTAAAATTTTTTAAAAAATGACAATGGATAATTTATAAGTAATCAAAATCCAAAAGCCTAATAGACTTCCAGAACCTGGGCTTTCTGGTCCTATTTGAATAGGAGAATCAAAACACCAGAATCCACAGTAGGTCTCCAGTGGTTTACCTTCGAGGGTGAATGTAGACTGGCATTAGCATAATCAGTGTATGTGTATCCAGAGATTATTTCCCAAAACCCCTGAAAGTCTCTTTAGACTTAGCTTTACACCAGAGTGTACATCATTATGATATGAAAAATGATAAAGCAATATTTGGAAAGCTAAAATGTTGCAAAAGTTTAAATTGCATTTTATTCCTCAGGTTTAAAACACAAACTGAGAATTATTCAAATCAAACTCACCTACTTCCCATACCTCATAACTGTGATATGATAGCACAGGGCAGTTGCAAACAGGGGCAACATTCAAAATTTTGCAAACAGGTAGAGTCAGAAAGAAAATGTCTTATAACTTTTGGGAATACCAGATTATGATAAGCTAAGAGAAAAGGGGAAAAAAAATTCCTCTAAATTATTCTTACTTTATAGGTTTTAAAATTGCAATTTATCTGAAATACATAGTTGTGGTCACTTTGGGGAAATAAGACCAGAGCGCTATGAATTCTTATTTCAAGTCCAACAGCAACAACAATGAAAATATTATCTAAAACAATTTTGAAAAAAACAAAACAAGAAATTTGAAGAAAATTAGCTTGCTTAGAAAAATGTTAAAATAAGTATACTTCGTTTTACATATTTAGACTGAGCAGTAGCTTCACTGTTGAAGTTTCATGGATAATATATTTTGTGCAAAATGTATTTAAATATATATTTTTAAGCCAATAGAATTAGAAAATTAGTGTCTGCCAACCTTATATAACAGAGCACTTGGCAGTTGGCAAAGCATTTTTACAGATGCTCGTTTTATCCTCACAACAACCCTGTGAGGTAGGCAGGGAAGGCATTCTCATTTCTATCTTGCAGTTTTGAACCGAAAAACTCAGAGATTCAGGGATATGTTCAAGGCTAACAAATATGTAACTCCTATTTTCTTGCTCCTTGTCCTACATATTTTCTCAAATGCATAAGAGAAAATGAGTAAGTTAGACAGGAAAGCCCGAACCTGTGTTAAAAAGAAAAAAAAGTGCCATCAAGGCAATTTCAACTCATGGCGAACCTATGTGTCTCAGAGTAGAACTGCACTCCATAGAGTAGTCAATGGCTGTGATCTTTCGGAAGTAGATCACCAGGTCTTTCTTCCACGGTGCCTCTGGGTGGATTTGAACTGCCAACGTTTGGTTAGTAGCTCAGCACCCAGAGATTTTATGAGTATATAAAGTGTATGCAAACTAGAAGATAGCCTCTTAGACTACATAGTTTTTGTGTTAAGTACATATTTATGATGACTGCCCATGATATCAATAAGCAAATTAGGCTTAACTATAAACCAGTCAGCGAATTTATGACAGCTAGTTCCAGATACAGGAATGATCAAAATTTCTGATTGAAATCTACTAAAAGCAATGAGATAAAAGAGTTCCCCACTGTTTCGTACAGGAGAGTATTTGTAGCTATTTTTAAGATTAAATCTTTCCCTGACATAGCAGCTTCTCTGAGTATGTCTTAAACTATTCATTCTATCCGTTTAAAAAAGCAGAGCTCTCCTGTTGAAATAAAAAGGGGTGAGGTGGGACAGAGAGAGCAGTCTAGTGCACAAGTAGTGCACAGAAGTTGCATACATTACAGTGCAGGCAGCAAATCCCCATGCTCCATCCATTTTGTGTGGAGAAAAGAAGTGGGGAGGGCAAAGGGAAATTGTACATACAAGCCCATGACGGAGTGGCCTGGTATACTGGGGACACCTCATGGGATTTAAACACAAGACGCGGTATATAAGATCTATCACAATAACAGAGCGTGGGTCTTAAGAGTCTACCCAGAAAAGTGGAAAGAGAGGTTTCATTTTGCAGTCTGCCACCCCTGGAAATCATAGACATCAGAGATTATAAGCCGATTGGTTTAGTTTTGTTTTGAAAAATAATCGCAAAATATTGAAACGAATGTCATTGTTTGGCTTAATTCAGGTATTCATAATTAAACAGTACCACAGACTTTATTGAGCAATTGAAAATATACACAAGAAACAATAGCATTTTTTTTCTCTTTACTCTCTTTTTTTTAAATTTGACTTTCTTCCAATTTAAATCACTCAGTTTCAATCATGAGAAGGGCACTTGTTTCTATGGTAGCGGTGTACAGCTTGCTCAGTTCCAAGTACTATTCCCACACTTCTTCCTTGCCATTGCTGAGGCTGTATCTCCACATGTTCAGGAAGCAAATTCTACATGATTTCAGGAATCGACCCCCTAAGTTGTTCTTTCAGATTCTATTTCTCCATAGAGTTCGGCTAACTTTTTAAACTCAGGACCCCAGTCTCCAAGGTAGTGATAATCCTGGTCTGATTGCGTCATTGCTGAATCTAGCGAGCTGATAGACCCAGCTTCTGATCTCTGGCCCTCATAAGCATAGGTCTGAAGAGAGTCATAAGGAGGGACGCTGGGGTCTAGGTCTGCTTCTGCCAGTCTTTGCTTAATAAATTCCTGAACATCTATACTTTCCAGGGTGGACAATGTCTGGTGCCTGGGAGTGAGTTTCACTTCAGGTCTGATGTCTCGTCGGTACTTAAGCTCCTCAGCAGCGGATGGATTCCTCAAGGCTGTGATGTCAAAGGCCTCAGTGTCTTCTTCTCCGCCCCCCTCGTCATCATAGGTGACCACGTTCTCCCGCACATCCTCCTCTGAAATGATCAAGTGTTCTTTTTTGCTGCGCCTCAGGGTAATAAAAAGTACTACGATTGCTGAGGAAAAATGGACAGAGGATGAAGAGTTAGAAAGGAAATTTTTGGATAGTTGACATCAGCTAATTCTCAATCTCTGTTATCAACCACTTTCTAGAATTAGTTAGTATTGTAATGCACTCTTGATCACAGCATTCTCTGTATCCCAATTCAAGGCATTTTAATGCCTCAGATTATATAGATACATATAATTACCTCTACAAAACATTTTAAATCACTGATTTTCTGTAGAAAGCAATTAACATTCTCATTAGCCATTCTTATGAATTCAGTATTGTTGACTCAGATTGCACTGCAATAGTTTGGTGTTTAAAGTGAAGAGAATAGAAAATGATATGTATTTTGATTAGAGAAATAATGGATTATATGGATTATCTGTGGGTATTTAATCCTTCTATGTAGCTTCACTAGAGGCAGGATATTTTCAGTTTCTGTGAACTAAAAATGCAGGGAGTTTGTACCAGAAACCCTTTACTGTTTGATATTTTGTAAGAAATCAAGGCTGGGATTTTCACATAATTGACTTTTTTTCTCCATTATCCTTTGGAATTACAATGCATTAATCATTGCATTTACCTCTCTAGCTGCAGTGGAATGTTACTTTATTTGTATACAACTTATGTTTTATAGGAATTTATCAATTTCCAAAATGTTCTTCACTTAACTACTTAAGCCTCACAGCAGAACTGTGATTTTATCCTATTTTTCAAATAAAGAAACAGACTAAGGGAAGCTTACATAAATGACTGTTTCAAGACTAAGGTCATACAGATGACAGGTGGAAATGCTGGGACCTCAGTATATGATTTATCACACCAAAGTCAATGATATTATACCACCATATTCTGCTTTATTATTCAGAAACAGAGACGAGGAACTCATTGACCAGTTGGGTATGTGGCTTAGGGTAGATCTTGCCAAATACAATGTTACAACCACTGGATAAAGTGATAAAAATGGATATTGGGCACCTTGCTTTGACCATTTCCAGTATCTCCATATCTTCATATTTGATTATTTTTAACCATTACTAAAAGGAAATTATTATGTCATTTCAACTTTGTTTTAAATTGTGTCATTGGGCCTTAGAGTCTTTGCTTCAACTCTACAGAATTTTATTCTTGTTCACATGATGTTCTAGGTTTTATGACAATAGTTATGACGTTCATTAATGCTTTAAAATTTTTATAATATAATAATCAAAGAAGCACATAGGCATGCAATATTTGAAAATATATATTACACATTGAATATATATTTAACTAAAACAGGACTTCTTTGAATATATATGTATACACACACACACATATAAACACACACACCCACAGAGTTGTCATCGAGTTGATTACAACTCATAGAGTGGGACTGTGCTCCATAGGGTTTTCAATGACTGATTTTTTGGAAGTAGTTTGTCAGACCTATCTTCCCAGGTGCCTCTGAGTGGACTCCAGCTGCCAAAATTTTGATTAACAGCCAAGCACATTAAACATTTGCGCCATCCAGGGATATCCATATATATAACAACTGTATTTCCTACGTAATATTTGCAGATATATATCTCCCAAATATTGCATATGTGTGTGTGTATATTAATTTACCTGAAATTCACATTTAGCTGGGTGTTCTGTATTTTATGTGGCAAACATATGTAAACTTTAACAAATGATTGCAAAGCAAACAAACACCAGGTTATCTATCCTTTGACAAAGAAAATAACTTATCTGGCACCCTAGAAACTACCCTGCTACTCTTTACCTCTACAAAAATAACCTATTCTAATTTATACAGTTATTATTTCCTTACTTCTCTTTATTGCTTAATCACATTTTCATTTATATCCTCAAACAATATAGATTAATTTGGCCATTTTGAAGTAGATACAAAATGTAATGTACTTTTAAAAGTTGAAAATATGAACAATAGATTTTTATTCAGTAGGGCAAAAAGTAATTATGAGAGAGAGGTCAACTATGTGTGGAAAGGGATAGTCACAGTGTACTCACTTAGAGGGATCTCATTTTCCAGAGGAAAAGCAAGTTGGAACCTGTGTGAATATATATATACACATACATACATATGTATAATATATACACCCTCTCCTCACTTATTGCATGGTTAAGTTCCAAACATCAGGTCATTATATGAAATATATGCAAAAATGGAGAATGACCATATCATATCACAAATTGGAGGATGACTACATCATTACATAACTGCCAAGTCATCATTATATATCTGCCAAGTTACATCATTACACAATTGCCAAGCTACACCATTACATAACTGGCAAGTTATATCAATATGAACTTCTAAACCATTGAGAATCATGACCCAGCCAAGGTGACACATAACCTTAACCATCAAAGCCAGCGTTAGTCTCATCTCACACCTCAGCATTTGTTACTGCCAGATGTACATTATTAATGCACAAAATAGTACGATATTAGATTTTTTACTATTGTAAATGCAAAACGTCGGATAACAAGATAGTCAGTGGGAAGGTGTAGAGAGAAAGATGATCAGAGAATAAACAGGGAAAGCATGGAATCGAAGGATATTGACAAGGTAATGGTAAAATGTAATGGGGGAGATAATGGCAGAACTGGAGAAACATCAAATCACTGTGCTTGGAATGGAGTGATATAGTGAGCTGAAAATGAGAATGAAATATTTATGCTACATGTGGCCATACTACAAAAATATTGTGTTATAGAATAAAAGAGTTTCCTGTACATACATGTTGCTTATCTTTAAAGACATTACTAATTCAACACTTTTTGGGAGGAAAGGACTTGGGAAAAAAAAGGCTTTTGCAGAATGCAATAATATACATTTAATACTTTGCTATTTATTTTAGTGGAAAGCCAGTATGATGGTGTTGTTGTTGTTAGGTGTTATTGATTTAGCTCTGACTCATAGCAAACCTACAAACAACAGAACGAAACATTGTCCAGTCCTGTGGCATCCTCACAATTGCTGCTATGCTTGAGTCCATCACTGTAGCCACTGTGTCAATCACCTCATTGAGGGACTTTCTCATTTTCCCTGACTGTCTACTTTATCAAGCATGATGTCCCTCTCCAGGGACTGGTCCCTTCTGATCTCATGTCTAAAATACATGAGATGAAGTCTTGCCATCCTTCTTTCTAAGGAGCATTCTGGCTATACTTCCAACACAGATTTGTTCATTTTTTTGACAGTCCATGGTACATTAAATAATTTATTTTGGGGTCTATCCTATATGGGGTTCATTGTGCTTCTTGGATGGTCAGCTTTTCATCTTTCATGATATTAAGGAAGTTTTCTGTCAGCAATTCTTCAATGACCCTCTCTGTGTTTTCTGTTTTATCCCCCTGTTCTGGAATTCTGATCACTCAAAAATTTTTGCTTTGATTATATCCCACATCATTCTCAGGGTTTCTTCATTTTTCTTTGTTCTTTTTTTCTGATTTTTCCTTGTTCTTTTTTTCTGATTTTTCCTCAAACAAAGATGTATCCAAGTGTTTGTCTTCAATTTCACTGATCTTGTCTTCCTTCCATCATTTCAAACCTGCTCTTCCAACTTTCTATGACACTGTCCACTGAAATCTTGTTGTTTATCTTTTGGATTTCTAATTGTTGTTTTTGTATGATTTCTAGCTGTGAATTTATTTTGAAATTTTGTTCCTGTATCATTTTTCTGAATTATTCCATTGTTTTGTCTGTCTTTTCCATGACTCTGTCTGCCTTTTCCATGATTTTGTCTATTTTTTCTTCATTTTTGTCTGCTTTTTCCTTCAACTCTTGGATAACTCTGAATATTAGAGATTTGAATTCCTTATCAGGTAGTTCCAGTGCCTTTTCTTCTAGTGGAAGATCATCTGGTGTTTTATGTTGGACGTCTATGGAACCATCCTGTCCTGTTTTTTTTTTTGTTGTTGTTGTTGTTGTTTTTTGATATTGTCTGCTGTCTTCAGGACATTCAGTAGTTATGTTCTTCATTTATTGATTGTAGATTTGTCTGTTTCACCCTGCTTTTTTGTTTTATTTGGTTATGTCTAAGCAGGCGGTCTGTGCACTCTTTGTTGTTTGCTCATCTGTGGGCATAACACTTCTTACCACCTTGTCCAATGGGCAGGGTCAGTCACTCAGATATATGCAGCAGGGCAGGTCCAGTGGGTGCTCTGTCTCCTGGTGGGAGCTCTATGAAGCTGCTTTCCCATATTCCCTATTCGCCGATCTCTGACAAGAGCGCAAGATGGCAGATCCATGCTGCATTAGCTGATAGGGGACCTCCAGTCTGTATCTCTCCTCACTCTCTGTTCTCTGTCAGTTTCTTATTTGATTTGGTGCTTGGTTGAGTTCTTTATCTCTTCATTTGATGCTTAGGGTTCCAGGATTGACGTCTGTCTCTGTTTTACTTAGTTGTTTGGGTCTTTGCTTTGGAGGGACAGTGTGGTGCTTCTGTCTATAGTGACAATGTTGGCTCCACCTCTCACTGTTCAACACTTTAAAGAGATCTTCTGCAGTAGATTTGCCCAATGCAAGGTGTACAGATCTCTAATTCAAAGCTTCAAAAAGCAAGGAACTCACTTCATTTTCAGAGGTTTAGATTTTCCAAAATTTTCTTCTTTCAAGTTATTTCCCCTTATGTTGAAATGGTTGGTGGCTTATGTCAAGGGAATTTATGGGCATATATAACAGGGAGGAAGTGATCAATACTATTGTAGAGGCATGGAGGTAATTTATATCCTTCATCAATGTTAGTGTATTGTTTCAATCCTCATATGCACTCCATATTTGCTTAATGTGATATAAGGGCTAATTCAGAGTTTATTAATATGATAGCTTATATCTCCTTGTTCCTCCAAAATTAAGAAAATATGCTTGATATATACTGATGCAAAATATACATACTAATAAAGTTTGACATTTGAGGGCTTATCCCTATATCTTTCCCAGGTGTACATAGTTACTTGCCTGTAACCAGTGATTCATAGATTTGTTACATACCTATTTCA